CATTGAAGAATAGGAATCCATCAGCTGCAGTATATTGGGGATGGAGAGTTTCCCGGACGCGGGCGGCCCACACATCAGCAGATGATGCTCCTCGTCGCCCTCCTCCTCCTCGCCGGTCACATGGGGCGCCGCCGTGCCGCCGCACTGGTTGACACTGGGAGCAGAAGAACTCCTCCAGCCATAAAAAGCCAGAGAATGCACGCAGCAAAACGCGGGATTCAGAATCCCCTGCGGAGACAAAGCCAGTCATTGTGTCTTATCTCCCTCACCACCAACACAGAAAATCCTTCATTCACACGGCTCCACACACACCACGAGACCCCTGACACCGGACCGCGGCCAGGAGGCATCCGGGGGACGGACTGCCGGACAGAATATATCACAATATATCACAAGCAAGTCCAGCAGATCTGCCAGCAATCCGGGGATCTCCAGACTTCCTGTAGTGAGGTTACAACGCCGGCTGTGCAGCACTGAAATCCCATACGGTGTTGTCAGCTGTGCCCAGTTCCCTTCTACAGAGCCAATCCTTATCTTCATATACCCTGCCCCTCCCTCCTCAGTGCTAGAACATAAGGAGGATGTGTTCTGTAGTCCACCCTCCCCACCTCCTCCATAACATAAGGGGGAGGTGTTCTATAGTCCACTCAAGTACAGCTGACAACACTGCTCGGGATTTCAATGCGGAAGAAGCAGCTCACTGGAAGCTCAGCGTGTATTTTGATGTATGTGCGGCATTTATATAGGATACAACAGGAGGGTGGGGGGAGGCGGGCGGTGCGTGTACTGCGGGGTGTGTGTGTGTGTGTGTGTGTGTGTGTGTTGGTGCGTGTTCTTCATAGATGTACTGAACACGTTTCTCTATGGCGCCCGCACAGGGAAATGTTCACTCGTCTCCAGATAACACTCATTCTGTCACAGCCGTCCGGGGGGGTGTCACCGATCGTTCTTACCGTAATGACGAAGAGGGTCCGCGCTGCAGCCAGCATCTGCCGAGGTGCCTGCGGGGTCCCCCAAACCTCCACCAGGAGCAGCACCACGTCACACAGGACATTTCCAATCCAGCTGCCGGGAAAACGACCATTTGGATTAGTAAATACGGTGCACAGAGGAATTTGGTTAAAGAAATCGGACCAGGGTCAGGGGACCGGACCGGCTTCAGGGTCAGGGGGCTACCGTCGGGCGAAGGGTCGGGGCTACC